GAGGGCAGGGGCAGGGGCCTTGTGGCTGGGTAGGAACAAGCCCCCTGCAGCTGTGACAGTCCACCCTAGAAGGTCCCCACTTCCTGACCCTGTGTCTCTGGGAGTTGCCCTTTGGGAAATAGAGCTGCGAGAGAGCACCGGTCGCGCTGGGCAGTGCCTCTGCCTGCTCTCCACTTTGCTGAATGGTGGCCATTGCTCCTGAATCTGTGCTGCCAGGGGCCAAACCCCTCGCATCTGTGCCTGCTGTACAGCATGAATAGGGCCTTTACTGGGCAGCACTGGCCACTTGATCCCTGCAGCCTGTTTGCTGCTCTGCTCGAGAAGGTAGCGGACGCTTGACTTTAAACAGCTTTTCTGAAGGACCTTGGGGTACACCAGGCTGTACCCTGACTTCACAGATGGATAGATGCACACCCAAGGGGTGAAGCCATATGTGGGCTGCAGCACTTGGGTGGCGGGCCTCGGGTCCGCATGCTCCTCAGGCCTGCAGGCCTGCAGGCAGGCACACACCTCCCCTCCTGCAGGCCTCAGTTATGCCTCAGGCGCCCACGGCTCCTGGGGACTACAGATGACAGTAGCAATGGCAAAGCTGCCATCAGATACTCTAAGCACCTTTTTCTATCAATAAAAGATGCTTGGACTGGTGTAACCACCAGAGCATCACAGATGCATCTCAAGATTTCTGAATGAAAAGATTTTTCCTGTTAGCAAAGGAATGTGATGGGGAGAGGGACACTGCCTGCAGACGAGAATATTTTCCACTTCCCGGCGTTAAAATCAGCCTGCGCTGGTTCAGCGCATTGCAGTCCAGCACCCATGGCCTGCAGTCCAGCCAGCCACGATGATGAGATCGCAGGCAGACCACTAGGCAGTCCTGGGCACAGGTCTGGAACACTCAGAGGGACTGACTCCGTTGGAGATGGCTGTGGCTCTCAATGTTAGAACTGAGTAGATTAAACTTTTCCATTCCTTACCCTGGCCTTGTTTTAATTTTTTTTTTAAGGATGCTTTAATAAAAATGAGGATCCTTAGTAAAGAACAATAAAAGAACATTTCCTTTTGTTTTGCTAACCTTTTACTATAATATAAATAGAAATGTTAGTTATAACTA